GATTTTTTTGTTGTTATTACTAAAAATAATTCTTGGGCGCCTGGGTTGCTCAGTTGGTTGGGCGACTGCCTTCGGCTCAGGTCATGATCCTGGAGTCCTGGGATCGAGTCCTGCATTGGGCTCCCTGCTCTGCAGGGAGCCTGCTTCTCCCTCTCCCACTCCCCCTGCTTGTGTTCCCTCTCTCGCTGTGTCTCTCTCTGTCAAATAAATAAATAAAATCTTTAAAATAAAAAATAAAAATAAATAAAAATAAAAATAATTCTTTCCTGTCATACCCAAATCTGTGAAAAAAATCTGTGTATGAGTTCTATTTTTTAAAAAAATTATGACACGTCGGTTGCAAACTGCCTACTCAACAGCCATTCTCCCTCACCAAAACCCCAATATTATGGCTATGACAACGAGGTCTCTGGCTACTGTTTCCTCATAAGGAACAAACTTAGTGGACACGCACCTTGAACTCTTCAACTATGGCCCCTCTCCCTACCTAGAATGCAGATCTGATCCTTGTGGAACAACCAGCCATCTTACAACTATGGCAGCAAGTCACAAGCTCCAGATGGCAGAGGAGGAGGCTAGAAGGGGCCAGGGTAATGCAGGATATTGCCCAGTGACGGCACCTGCTTACTCTGCCCTCCACTGGATTTCCTGCTGTTAGAAAAATCATGCCTGGGAGCACCTGGGCGGCACATTCGGTTAAGCATCCAACTCTGGGTTTTGGCTCAGGTCATGATCTCGGCGTCCTAGGATCGAGCCTGGGCAGCAGGCCCCACACTCAGCGCAGATTCCGCTTGGGATTCTCTCTCCCCTCTCCCTCTGTCCCTCCCCTTGCTCTCTCTCTCTCTGAAATAAATAAATCTTTTTAAAAAATTGTGCCTGCTTGATTCAAAAACTGGGATCAAATTTCTGATGCGTGTGGCCAAATTCAATACTATAGATACATGAGGATGCCTGAAAATCAATCCATCCTCAAAGACCAGGAGTTCTAAACTTAAATGGAAATAGGAGAAGGCAGATCAAATGTGAGTCAATCTGACAGGTGTATGAAAGGAAGGCGTGGCAAACTGCACCAGGTAGGCCTCATGTAAGCAAGCCCCATTACCAGTTCCACCCAGCTCCGGCCAACGGGCACCCTGGGAGTGGGGGGGGGGGTGCCAGCCCAGCATTCCCACTGTGCCAGAACTTCTGATTTTAAAGAGAAGCCCAGAATTGGGATTTTCACATCAAGTTTCCTAATTTATAAATAACAACCGAATTTTAGAAGTTTTAACTCTATGTGGATCAAACAAGACATCACTACAGGCAACATTCAACCTGAAGGCTACCAGTTTTCAACCTTAGTAGAGAGGGTTAAGGCAAAATAAAAAGACCATCCAAGTTCTACAGAAGTAATAACGATCAGCAACATACTGGGCACTATGTGCCAGGCTGTGTGAAGGGCTTTACATCGATTATCTCATTTTTTCTTTTTAGCCACCCTATGGAGTATGCGATATTACTATCCCTGCCTTACCCATGAGGAAACTGAGGCTGAGTGAGGTGAGGCTGTACTGCTCCTGGGGCCCCTGGGTGGCGCAGTCAGTTAGGCGTCCGGCTCTTGGTTTTGGCTCAGGTCATGATCTCAGGGTTGTGAGATCGACCACGTGGGGCTCCATGCTCAGCGGGGAGTCTGCTCGAGATTCTCTCTCTCCCTCTGCCCCTGCCCTGCTCCCACTCATCACATAAATAAATAAAATCTTGGGGGAAAAAAAAAAAAGAAGGCGTGGATAAAAGAGGTTAAATAACTTGCTGAGTCCTAGCGTTCATGTGTAGCAGAGTCAGGATTTCAACCCAGGACTGTGCTCTTACCCATTCTTCATAAAGAATGCCCCCTGCGCCCAGGAGGCACAAACACTGCTTTGGATCACTACTAGTCTACCTATGGGTAAATGAGTCAGAGCTCTCCAAGAGACCTCCAAGTCAGTTTGACAGGAGACCCCGGCTCACGTCCTCCTACGTGGCTGCCCTTCAGTAAAAAAGGCAAAGCACTGTCCAGTCCTCGTCTATTAGCAAGTTTCCTGAAGGAACGCACGTGTGTGTAGTGTTGTCAAATGCATCTCTCTCTTAATCCCCACAGCAACCCAGTGGCACTGTTACCACGACCTGACAGACAGTGAAACGGAGGATTAGAGAGATTAGCGGACTTGTTCAAGATCCAGGCAGTTAGCAGAGCCGGGTCTCCAGCCCCGGTTATCTGGTGCCAGGCCCTGTGTTCTTTCTACTCAAGCACACTGCCTCTGTGCTTCCTCCAGCAGAGCGCCCAACTCCACCACCTCGCCTCCAACCAAACATTCCTACTTAACTCTACAGTCAATCCAGGATGTCTGACAGCCCCCAGGTGCCATGTTTACGTTTTCAGCGATAGCTTCATCCTAGAATCTAGTCAGCCAGGGAACAAAAATAAATACGTCAGGTCATACACTCAGAATTGGAATGTAAATGGGCACACACAAAAGTCTCAGGATCTAATTTTACAAAGAAACAGCCAGAAAGTTCCACACGGCACAGGGAGCACCTGCCCCCGGGGGAGGCTGCCCACACTGCTTTAAACCTCAGTCAACCCAGGGAGAGAAGGAATCCTGGAATTCTGACCAGCATGTCATTGCCAGAGGCACCAGCTGGGTGAAGAACAGAATGACTTTTCCTCATGTTCTCCCAGAAAAATGCTAAGGCCCAGAGGTAAATGTCCCTGGGGAATCATCCTTCCAGAAAGGATGAACCCTGAAAAGTTCATCACAGTCTGTGCCTTTGAAGTTAGCCACTCACAGTCCTGACTCTCACCTGGGAGCCAAGGGGAAAGCGATGGGGGGGTGAACAATGCCTACTGACCCCAGCCTAGAAGCAGATTTGGTGTGGGGGTTACACAGAGCCTCAAGGCCATCAGGTCATTCCAGGATATTCTGGCCCACCACAGGCCCATCACCTAACCACTACAGGTGGCTAGAACCTGCTTCACAATTAAGCAGACATGTGACTGGTCTTTCTGGCTGCCAGTGATCACAGGAGTAAAAGCTCCATTATGGCAGGAAATGTTATCTCTTTTGTTCACTGAAATATGCCAACCCTCTGCAAAGGTGCCCGACACATAATAAACTTTAATAACTATTTGTTGAAGAAATGAATAAATGATTTGCTATTGGGATGGATCTTCCTAGACCCACAGTCTAAAGTGGCCAGAGGTCAAGAGGAGAGTCCATTAACCCAGTCATCTGCTTGCCCGTTTTCTCTTAGCTGACATACACTACTGCAGTTCAAGGTCCCTCCGACCCGGGGTTGGGTATGATATGTGTTCTCTCACCATCTTCCTCCATTATACCACCGCCCCCTTCCCTGGGCCTCCAGTGCACCACTCTATCTATGTACCCACCCCCCCATCCTGCAATACTCCTCCTCAGCCTGTGACGGCCCTCATAACACACGGTGTACCTCACTGGTCCCCCCAACAACCCTGCACTGTCCACCTCATGCCTGTGCTGGGCATAGTGAGTGACACCCGGCCTTCCAAAGCTCCCACCTTATGAGGGGGCCAGTCATGGAAACGATGAGAATATAACGTAGTAAGCACCATAATGCAAGTGCTGTGGCCAAACTCACAAACTGACCACCCTCAGGCCTATGATGTTTTCATTGTTATAATTAATTGCCAACCTATAGAAATGTGCTGCTTTCTCACAAAATTTTCGACTGTCAGCATCTCGCGGAAAATCAGAGGATCTGGCAATACTGGGCCTGTAGTCCCCACAGCATCAGTCAGCTTCAGCTAGGCAGCAGTTTCCTCTTTACAGGGAACATGTGGCCTCTGGTTCCCACAACCCGTCTCCCCCGTCTCCCTACAGTCTCCAGCCAACGAGGCCACGGGCCAGCCACCAGTTCCTCTGTACTGGAGTGATTGTTACCTTAGAGTAATGATACTCTGTACCCACAATTCTACGGGAAGTGAGAAAGTAAAAGATAAATCGAAAGGGCCATGTGGACTGCTCACAGAAATGCTGGAGAACTTGCTTCCCAGGAAAGTGAAGAATATTCCTACATACGTGATACTGTAAGTAAGTGTGCCTGTGTCTTGTCCCTGGCGTGCTTTGCTCATGCACCTGCCTAGCTCGTTAGGCTTCTCAGTGTAGATCCCCTCATCGATTTTAAACCTACTATGGCCAATGAATTAGGTAACTGAGACGGCAGGTTTCCTGCTGGGTGGGAAGTCACTGTCTAGTGGGGCCAGACAGATACATACAAAGACATTTCGCATACAGTGTGAGAACATACAGAAGTCCTATAATAGGTAGTATGGGCACCGAAAAGAAGGAGCCCTAAGCTGGCCTGGGGAAGTTAGGAAGAGCTCACAGAGGGATCATCCCGAAATGGATTCTTGAAAAGAGCAAAGTTTATTCAAGTGGACAGCGGAAGATGCAAAGGGGCTCTGAGTGAACTGCCAAAAATAGTGCCCTGGTATGAAAAGTGTTGCTCATCGGGATTACCCACCCTCCACGGAGCAGCTGGATAAATTCCCACAGTTCCAGGCCACTCAGAAAAGTTTCCAGGAAAGTAAGGCCAGCACTAATCCCCTTCCTGCCCGAGAACTGTAGCAAGTGCAGGTCACCACTGAGAGCAAACGTCCAGTTGTGTAATCCAACCTTACGTCACCAGCAGGGCTCACTGGCATTGATTCGGCAGAAATAAAAACCTGGATTTCCACCGGATTTTGAAACTTCCCGGTCCCCTGCTTCAGCGAACTTAAGAATATTCTTCACTGAGAATATAAAGCAATACACAGAAACTACTCTGGCATCAAAGAAAAAACGTTCTGCTTTCACTTCTTGCTAATAGGACAAATGCCAAGGAAGGGAATTTCCAAATCAAGATAGGACGAAGGGCTGACATTGGAGAGAAGAAATATGAAATACCAAATCCTTGCTCTTTAAGTAATTACTAACTTTTAGAAAGCATTTTTTTTTAACACCCACCTCTCCAGTCAGAATTGAAGAGGAGTTCTTGCTACTGAGATGATTCTCGACTTGAGCTGACTCCTGTTGAGCTCGGCGACCCATCTTGGGTCCCTGTAAAGAGAGATGAGGAACGCTGCTGACCCAAACATCTTTGAGCCACTATGAGGACGAGAATTCTGGGATGGTAAGCAAGGGCAGGATTTATGATGACATGGTAGAGGATGGGATTTGAGTAACTTGAACGTATGTTTTCAAAAATGCTTCACACACTTAAAACAAAGTACCTGAGGCCATTTCTATTCGAGAGGAAAACACGAAATTCCTGGATTAATGATCATAGGTTTCTCTTTTAACTGCCACAGATCTTTCCTACCCAAAGAAATGCACACAGACACTCCTCTAGAATGAACAGCGACCTCATGCCAAAGCTCAGGGAAGAAGGTGGTAAAGGCTCTCATGTTCCTATGCAGGATTCTAGAAAGGCCTCATTTCAAAGCTGCAGCTTGGCATGAAATTGTTATCAAAAAGACTCTGGGGTGGGTGCCTGGGTGGCTCAGTCGTTAAGCGTCTGCCTTCGGCTCAGGTCATGATCCCAGGGTCCTGGGATCGAGTCCCACATCGGGCTCCCTGCTCAGCAGGAAGCCCGCTTCTCCCTCTCCCACTCCCCCTGCTTGTGTTCCTGCTCTCGCTATCTCTCTGTCAAATAAATAAATAAAATCTTAAAAAAAAAAAAGACTTTGGGGAAAGAACTCCTAAGTTCCATGGCAACTAGCACCAGAGATGTAAATACAGGTAGCATTTGCTTTGACGTCAGTGGAGCATGCGACTCTTGATCTCAGGCCCCACATTGGGTATGATATGGATTTGCGCTTCTAGACAGTAAAGGGAATCTCTTACAAGAATTTTGAGACATCAGCTTCGGAAATCAGAACACTTTAAATTCTGAGTCAGCAAATGAACCATCTGCAGGTGTTTCCCAAAGCCTTCCTGGGGTGGAGGCTCTGTGTCTCAAATGCTTCCCAGCACAGAAATAAAACTTTATTTAGGCAGACTAGTGGATGTTGAAATATTTATATTATCATTTGTTGGCTTTTCTAAAACCAGCATTAATATAAACATTTTTAGATCTCATCTGATGTGGCTTCACTGGATTCTCACAGTAACAGGGACTAGGACTGATGCGATTTCACAAGCACGGAAAGTGAGGCCCAGGAAGGCAAGTAAGTGGCGGACATCAATTGAAAAGCAAAACCTTTTTCCGTCTTCGGATCCTCAGTTCTTTCCCCTATCCCATGCTGGAGTTTCAGTTTTCAGATGTTCTAAGAACTGCCTGCACCAAACAACTGAGAGGGGTTACATGGGGGTTGTATAAAAACCCCTAGGACCTGTTTACATTTCAAATTCTAATCAGATGATGGAAACAATCTTTCTGATCAGCAGCTCATTTTCTTTCCAAGGCAGACAACTCCGCCCCTCTGCCTATCACTGCCCTTTCCCACTTGTCCTATAGCATTTGGTATCTGAACATGGCGTACTGCTCGCCGTGCTTGTGCTAAAACAAAAATTCAATGATCTTGTCTCTAAATGCGGTTTCCGGGGGGTTTCTCTAGTAACTGTTAAGTATGTTAAAGGCTTTAGGCCTATTGAAGACCTTGCATAAATCCACGGGAATGACTGGTAGAAAAACTACTTTACTATATTTAAATGTACATATATTTTAAGTGGATAGTCTTATTGTCCATCTTCCCCCGCTGATTGTAAGCCCCCTGACGACAAGGACTTTGCTTGTGGCTGTTGTTTTTTAAGATTTTATTTTCTAAAGTAATCTCTACACCCAATGTGGGGCCTGAGATCAAGAGTTGCATGCTCCACCAACTGAGCCAGCCGGGTGCCCTGTGTTGTTGTTGTTGTCTCACTGCTATATGGCCAGCCCCTAACCCAATGCCTGATACACAGTGGGGGCTCAATAAATATTTGTTTAAAGAATGAATGTATAACTACATTTACATTCCCAGGGTCTAAACAAGTTCACATATCAGAAAGACCCGGTGACCTAATATTCTCTTTGGTCAGTCAAACAACCTGCATTGTAGACCAACTGTTCTTGCTCCCTGAGAGGTGCTCCTCTCTGGTACCCTGGAGGACACCTGATGCTATTAGGGCCCTTCAAAACACTTAGAGATTCCAGAGCAGAAACTAAAGACCTGCTGTGTTGCCCCAGTCTTCTAGGGACCATGATCTTGACTAATTTCAAAGGTAAAAAGGCTTGATGGGACTGTGATGGAGTTAAGAAACAACACCGAACTTGGGTCTTGAATCTAGATCAGTGATTTACTGACTATATACATAACTGGGTAAATGAGCCTCAGAAGCCACAGCAGCTGACTTCTTTTAATAACTTATCGTGTGACAGGCACTGTATCAAATGCTTCCCATGCGTTACTACATTTCATCTTCATGGCAGCACTTTGAAGTAGATATCAACATCTCCATTCTAGAGATAAGGAAACCGAAGTTGGGGAGGGTTTCTTTGTTTTTAATTTTTTAGAGTTGACTATAGTTGACACACAATGCTAACTTTTTTTTAACCCAGTAAGCAGCTTCATACTCCATTTGACCTCCGGGCCCCCAGCACCTAGCCACTCCTCCACGTTAGAACTCCTAAATCATAAAACTGAGGTAACGCCCACCTCCTCGTGGGAACTCCGGGCACGAGAAGGCCCTTCCAGGCTGCCTGAAGTCTTTACAGGAACTTCTGGCATGAGAAGTCTCAAGGAAAAAGCCCTGGGATGGGTGCAAGCGCGACCCTGGCCCAGGGCGCCTCCAGTCACTCTCAGTTATGCCCGCTCTAGGGGAGTTAGCACTCGTGGCTCCAGAAAGCGGAGCCTGGCTGGGAAATTTCCCACCGGTCCCAGAGGCTGGCAGAGGCAGGATCTGTTTTTCTGCTTTCCGAGAATTTTAAAGAAAGCAAACCCCAGGCCAGTAGCGGCGGAGCCCACCGCAGCCCCGGGGGCGGGGCGGCTGAGGCCGCCTCTTCCCCGGCCTCACCCCCGCGCGGCTCCGCGCCCGCCCGCTCCGGCCACTTGGGACAGGCCAGGCCGAGGCGCCGCCGGGAAGCCGGGCCGGCTAGGTCGCCCCTCTGCACCCGCCCAATCCTAGCCCCAAGCCCCCAAGTCGGTCCTCACGGAGGTGGCCGAGCCGCGGCGCCGCTCCTCGCCTAGGTCCAGCACGTCCTCCATCTCCGCGGCCGCCTGACGTCATTTCCTGGAAACCAAGCGGCCCAGCCGCGTCCCTGACGACGGCTCCGCCCTTTCATCTCAATATTTAAAGGATCCGCCGCATTATTCCTGGATTCTGTGTGCCACCTTTGAATTTAAACCAAAACTTTCCTAAACTGCCTTGCCTGACTTCTGGAAGAAACCCCCAGCTATCAAATCCCGCTAAGGCCGCTCCTATGGGACAGTGAAAAGAATGTTAGTCTTTAAGAACTGTCTAGATGTGTAGCTCTGTTTAAATATATGTTATTAAGTACAAAGCACTACTACTAATAGTAGTGATTAAATCGATCCCTCTTATTTATATAGCCCTTTACAATGAATAAAGGACTTTCACAGTTATTATCTCACGGGAAGGGTATAATAACCTTATGTGAAAAACAAGGTAAGTCTATTATCTCCATCTGACAGATAAGAAAACAGGCTCACGGGAGGGTAGAGTGGTCAGGTGCAAATAAACAGTTTCTAATGGAACATGCAATATACATAATCTCTGCCTTCAAGAAGTTTACAGAGAAGCCGAACCAAGACGTCAAATACCTAAGTAGTGACAACATTCAAAAGTCAAGTAATCCCTCCAACAACCCACAAAGTGAGCATCAGAGATATCTCTATTCAAAAATTGAGGACCCTCAGGTGCAAAGAGGTGGCTTGAGGGAAATCATCTGAGTGCCAAGCAGCAGAGCCTGATGCCTTTTTGGATACCAGATCTTGTAAGAGTATTTTTCTCCTCCACATACTCCTGGGTGCCAACCGTACTCCTAGGCCAGCAGAGGAAGATGTCCCTCAAATTCCCAGCCTACTGGGACGAGTTGAGTCTGCATTGACTCTCCATGTAAGATCCCCAAGTCAACACCACTGGCCAGGTCCCTGGTACTGGTCAGCTAGGCCCCCCAGAAGACGGCCGCATGGTCCTGAAAGTGAACAATATCCCCAATATCAGGCTAGGGGTAAGGCCTAGATGACCACTGCTAAAAAGCAAAGACTTGAAAGTGGGAGTTGCACCCCCTAAAACTGGATTGCAAGCATTTCTTAAATACCCAATAAATCACTCAGTTCAACCAGTCATCCACACATGTTCACTGGGTAGGGCTGTGTGTTAGCATGTCTTGTGACAGCAACAGCCGTGCTTGGATGTCGGAAGAGTTGAGGTCTCATCCTAGCTCTGCTGATAACTACCTGTGCGGCCAGGCAGAGCCCTCTCTGGACCTCAGTCTCCTCCCTTGTAATTGCTCTTAGAGATTACCCCTAAGATCTGATTTGCACTGAGAATACCCAGTTAGATTTTCATCCGAAGAAGCATTCGTTGCCAAAATCCAAGACAGATGAAATACAGGCTCCCGTGAATCCTTTGTTTTCTTCTTCCTTGGCACCAGATGAGGAAGAAGGGATTCATCTTTGGATTTTTCCATTTGGTGTGAGCCCATGGCTACACTACCACCACCTTACTGCCAGTTTTCAAACCTTAACTCCCCCTTCTTCCCTGACTTCCTGAAAGCAAAAGGTGCTTGGTGCTCAGTCTGAGCAGAAAGAAGCCCTAGGACAGTGCTTCCGGACCTTGCTGAACACCTGACTCACCTGTGGCGTTTGTTAAAAATACACGTGCCAGGGCCCCATCCCTGGAGACTGATTTGGCAGAGGTGGAGTCCAGAAGGATATAACTTGAGTAATTTTCCTCCCATCTTACAAGTGTTTGCTTAAAGGCCTCAGTAAGGTCTTCTCTGTCACCTTATTTTAAGTTTCAACAGTCCCAACCTAGGCACTCCCTAATCTACCTCCCTGCTTTATTTTCCACCATGGTGCTTATCTTTTATCATCATACCTAATTCTTCCGTTTATTGCCACTTCCACACCCCTCCTCCCCCCACCCCCAATGTAAACTCCCTTAAGGGCAAGGGTTTTGTTTGTTAGTTTGTTTTGTTCAGGGCTGCATCCACAGAGCCCAGAACAGTGCCTGGCATACAGTGAACGTCAAAGTATTTTTCAAATGATGGCTGAATTTCAGAGGCGGCAATTCATAGGAAAATGCATAGACTGTGGCAATAGATTTCCTGGGTGCAAATCTCAGTGTTGACACCTACCAACTATATGTTCTAGGTAAGTTACTTTTAAGCTTTCTACACCTAGATTTCTTCATGTTATTCAAATGACAACAATGCCTACCCAAACTAGAGAGCCTGAGTTAAATATCGCCTCCACCACCCATGAGAGGGTGGCCTTAAAAAAAAAAAAAAAAATCGCTCTGTGCCTCAGTTTCCTCAATTGTAGACCGATCAACCACTGTTCTGGGGATTCAGTGAACATCCCAGCGGCCTAGGAGCCAGAGGCAGGAAGCAGACCTCACAGGAAGGGTCCAGGAAGGCTGGGTGAGGCGCGGCGTAGTGGCGGGGAGCAGCACGGATTCGCAGGAAAGTGACCGATTCAGGGGCAAGTCCTGTGTTGCCGGGAAGCAACGTGCCTTGCCCTCTCTGAGCTTCTCGTGGGAAAAGACGTAGAAGCTTAGGCGGAGAAGAGGAACGAGAGCGAGCCGAGAGAAAACTTCCCCTCACCCATCTGGGAAATGGGCTGGGGCCAACTGCTGACTTTGCGCTCGCTGGCGCAGCTCCCTGCGGAACCCTCGGCGGGGAGGGAGGCTGCGAACGTCTGGAGGACATTTCTGCGAGAGCGGCTGCCGAGCAGGGCCCCGGGAAGAGAGAGGTGCACTTGTGCGCACGTCGGGCCGAGAGGGAGCCCGTCCCCCCAGGCTCCGGTGTCGCTTCCCTCGCCCTCTCCCGCGGCCCCGCTCCTCCAGCCCCCAGCCCCACCCCCAGCCCTCCCCGGCGTCCCGGCCCCGGCCCGCCGCGCTCCTTCACTGGCGCCCTCGCCTCGCCAGGGGGCACCCTCGATCTGCCGGAAAACGCCACCATTTTCAATGGCCCTGGAGCATCTCCAAGCTTCAGCCGGCCGCCCGACTCCAGGCTAGTCGGGGAAGAATCGGGGCCAGGGTCGCCGCGGAGCCGTGCCCACCTCCGACCCCGCTCCCCGGCCGGGCGTCGCCCCCCCACCCCCGAGGGTGGGCACGGCTGCCCCTGCTCCGGCCCCGCGCGCGCCCCTGCCCCCTGCCCCGCGCCCCTGCCCCGCGGGCCGCCGGGCCCGGGGGCGGCCCGGACCGGGGGTGGGGGGTGGGGGGGGTGGGGGGGCGGTGGTGAGGGGACCGTGGCAGGAGCGAGAGACGGGCCGAGGAGAGAGGACGGGCTGACAGCTGGCGAGAGGGCGAAGGAGCTCGGGGAGAAGGAGGGAAGGGATTCGTCGGAGTAACTTTCCAGAAAAACAGTCAACGTGTAGCAGGAGTGACTCCAAGAGGGGAAAAAAAGTTCAGTTACCACGTCGAACCAGAGGACTCGCAAAGTATTTTTCAAATGGGCTCGGCTTTTCCTGTGCCTGTTTAAAACATTAAAATCGTGCAGCAAAAGAGGCTGCGTGCGCTGGTCCCTCCCTCCCCCACCCGGGCCTGAGACGTCATGGGAGGGAGGTATAAAATTTCAGCAGAGAGAAATAGAGAAAGCAGTGTGTGTGCATGTGTGTGTGAGAGAGGGAGAGGGAGAGGAGCGAGAGGGAGAGAGAGAGAGGGAGAAGGAGAGGGAGAAGCAGCAGGGAGAGGAAGGGAGGGAAGCAGAAAGCCAAGGCCAAGGGAATGAGCAAGAGAGGGGAGAGATAGGGGAAGAAGCCTGAGAAAGAAGGAATAACAGCTTTCCGGAGCAGGCGTGCAGGGACCTGGCTGCTATTTTCTTTTTCTTCTCCTTTTTATTTTTGTAAAGAGAAGCAGGGAACAGAAGCAATGGCCGAGGGAGAAGACAAGCCGAGGTGCTGGTGACCTTGGGCGTCCAAGTGGATTATTGGGGCTGCTCTCCAGGGGCCTGTCCTCCCTGCCTTCCAATTGCACATACCCCCACTTCCCAGCCAATGAAGACGAGAGGCAGCGTGAACAAAGTCATTTAGAAAGCCCCCGAGGAAGTGTAAACAAAAGAGAAAGCATGAATGGTGTGCCCGAGAGACAAGTGTGTCCTGCGCTGCCCCCACCTTTAGCGGGGCCAGTCCAGCCCAGCCCTGCCTCTCCCCACCTACTCACTGGCTATCTGACTTTTTTTTAAACATTTTTTTTTCTCCTTTTCTTTTCCATTCTCTTTTCTTATCCTCCTTCAGGGCAAGGCAAGGATTTTGATTTTGGGACCCAGCCATGGTCCTCCTGCTCCTTCTTTAAAATACCCACTTTCTCCCCATTGCCAAGCGGCATTTGGCAATATCAGATATCCGCTCTATTTATTTTTACCTAAGGAAAAACTCCAGCTCCCTTCCCACTCCCAGCTGCCTTGCCACCCCTCCCAGCCCTCTGCTTGCCCTCCACCTGGCCTGCTGGGAGTCAGAGCCCCGCAGAACCTGTTTAGACACATGGAGAAGAGACCCAGAGCTCCAAGGCACACAGTCGGCGTCTTCGCGCTCAGGGTTGCCAGTGCTTCCTGGAAGTCCTGAAGCTCTCGCAGTGCAGTGAGTTCATGCACCTTCTTGCCAAGCCTCAGTCTTCGGGATCTAGGGAGGCCGCCTGGTTTTCCTCCCTCCTTCTGCACGACTGCTGGGGTCTCCTCCTCGCCGGGCCTCGCAGCAGCGCCCCCCCCCCCCAGCCGCTCTCCCCAGCTTGCGCATGAAGATGCACTTGCAAAGGGCTCTGGTGGTCCTGGCCCTGCTGAACTTTGCCACGGTCAGCCTCTCTCTGTCCACTTGCACCACCTTGGACTTTGGCCACATCAAGAAGAAGAGGGTGGAAGCCATTAGGGGACAGATCTTGAGCAAACTCCGGCTCACCAGTCCCCCCGAGCCATCGGTGATGA